TGAGAAAGTGTTGGTTTCTAATACAGGTAATTTCTTTCTGCTTTTGGGTAAACAGTATTTCTTGTTGTCTCTTTGTCAGTGTTGATGCAGAGGTTGTCTGGTTTGCCTACTCGGGAATATACAACATATCATTGTCCTTCTTTAGGGGTCCCTTTCAAATCTTTGATACTGCATCTATATATACATACATATACTGCATCTATATATACAGTATATATACATATATGTGTGTGAATGGCTGGATGGCCCTTTGTCAGGAGGGCTTTGATTATGTTTTCTTGTCTTGGTAGTTGGACTGGATGGCCTTAACGCAGCATTTCTGAACCTGGAAAGTCAAGACCGGGGGGGGGGGGGGGTCACCAGGGGGGGTGTCAGAAGGGTCACCCAAACCACCAGAAAACACAGTATTTTCTGTTGGTCATGGGGGTTCTGTGTGGGATGTTTGGCCCAATTCCATCATTGATGGGGTTCGGAATGCTCTTTTATTGTAGGGAACTATAGATCCCAGTAACTACAACTCCTAAATGTCAAGGTTTATTTCCCCCAAACTCCATCTGTGTTCACATTTGGGCACATTGAGTATTCCTGTCAAGTTTGGCCCAGATCTATCAATGTTTGTGTCCACAGTGCTCTCTAGATGTAGGTGAACTACAACTCCCAAACTCAAGGTCAATGCTCACGAAACCCTTCCAGGATTTTCTGTTGTTCATGGGAGTCCTGCGTGCCAAGTTTGGTTCAATTCCATCATTGATGGAGTTCAGAAAGATCTTTGATTGTAGGTGAACTATAAATCTCAGCAACTACAACTCCCAAATGTCAAAATCATAATGTTTTGAGTGATGGTCACTCCTTGTGTTGTAAGACATTTTGTTGCCAAATTGGGTGTGATTCCGTTCATTGGTTCTTTTGCTTTTAACACACAGAGAATCTATCTATCTATCTATCTATCTATCTATCTATATATATAGATGTAATGTAATGTTACTAATAATATTACAATATAATTGTATAATACAATATAGTAATATTTAATACTGATATTGTACTATGCTAATAATATAATATATTGTATGCATGTGTGTGTGTGTGTGTGTATATATATATATATATGTATATATATATATGTATATATATGTGTATGTATGTATGTGTGTGTGTATATATATAGAGAGAGAGAGTAAGCTGCTCTGAGTCCCCTTCGGGTGAGAAGGGCGGCATCTAAATGTTGGAAATAAATAATAAATTAATATATAATGCACCCAAAGTAACCTTTTTCCCTGCATGAACAGCCAAAGTGAGGAAAGGCGCATCTTTCTTTTAATACAATATACATAAAAATAGTCAGCATATAGGAAAAGGAGAAGCTCTCCACTGGTTGTCCTCACTGACCAAGAGATGGAACAAGCGTGGGAGTTAAAATGCAAGTTTCACTTCCACGTCAACTCCTTTTTTCGCCTTTGGAGTACATAAGGGCTAAGGGAGGGACAAAAAAAAATCTAGGAATGCATTTGACAAGACTGGACTGGTCTGAAATATGTGCAACATGCTCTTTGCAGGGAATTCCAAGAAAGAGCGAGAGAGATCGCCCAAATCCACCTCCTACCAGAAACATCTTTCCACTTCTTGATACAATCCTCCTTTTAATGCAAAAGAAAGGGAAGAGAAAGTGTCTGATTGAAGCAGGGAGATCCTCCCAACAGGAAAGAAGGAAGGAAGACAAGAAGATTTTACATAACAACGCATTTCTGGCCTCCAAGCAGAAAGGAGAGAGACGGAGAAACACCAAATGTGACCCTGAGGGTGCATCCACACTGTAGAATTATTACAGTTCGACACCACTTGAACTGCCATGGCTCAGTGCTATGAGATCCTGAGAACTGAAGTCTAGGGGCCCTTCCGCACAGAATATCAAGGCAGGAAATCCCACAATATCTGCTTTGAACTGGGTTATGAGACCACATTGCCATATATTCCAGTGGGATTTCCTGCCTTGATATTCTGGATTATATGACTGTGTGGAAGCGGCCTGATGATACTCTTTGGCACAGAAGGCTAAAGATTTTGTAAAACTACAACCTCTCCCCTAGGATTCGATGGCATAGGAATTAAAGTGGTGTCAAACTGCACTAATTCTTCAGTGTAGATGTACCCTAAGAGGAATTGATAGGCCAGACTGGGTAGAAAGATGCCCAAACTGGGATTTTGATTCTATGGGATCAACAGAATCACAAGCCTGGGAAAGAACAATACTCAGAAACCAGGGGAAATCCAGACAGGAAAAAAATCAGGGCCAGCTAACACTTCCCAAAAAAGGATTCCCCCAGGCAGGAAGCAGCCAGGCTTTGAAGCTGTAAGGCTATTCAATGATAATCAACTTTTTTTGTCATGACAAGAGTGACTTGAGAAACTGTAAGTCGCTTCTGGTGTGAGAGAATTGGCCATCTGCAAGGACGTTGCTCAGGGGACGCCCGGATGATTTGATGTTTTTATCATCCTTGTGGGAGGCTTCTCTCATGTCCCCGCATGAGGAGCTGGAGCTGATAGAGGGAGCTCATCCGCCTCTCCCCGGATTCAAACCTGCAACCTGCTAATCAGTCCTGCTAATCAAGCTGGCCAATTGCAACATTCACGCTTGCCTCAAGGCATTCTCTCCTGACGTTTCTTCCACATCTATGGCAGGCATCCTCAGAGGTTGTGATGTGTGTTGGAGTCCCCCAGGCAGCAACCAGCCAGGCTTTGAAGCTACAAGGCCATTCAATGCTAATCAAGGTGCCCAATTGCAACATTCACACTTCCCTCCAACAGACAAGAGTTCTTTCTCCCACCCTGGGCATTCCAGATATATAAACCTCACTTGCCTAGTTTCCAATGGACCTCACAAATTCTGAGGATGCCTGCTATAGATGTGGTAGAATCATCAGAAGAGAATGCTTCTGAAATATGGCCATATGGCCCAGAAAACTCACGGCAACCCAGTGATTCCGGCCATGAAAGCCTTCGACAACACAAAAAACTTAGCATTAGAAGTTAGATTGTAAGTTGGATGGACTTTATGTTATTTTATGTTTTGTTTTGATTGTCTATTTGTTTTTGGGCATTGAATGTTTGCCATTTTGTTATTTTTTTGTAAACCGCCCTGAGTCCCTTCAGAGAGAGAGAGAGCGGATTATAAATAAATTATTATTATTTAATTATTTAATTATTATTATTATTATTATTATTATTATTATGGACTTGCTTTCAAATGCCTTTTTGGGTGTTGATTTTTTAAAATGTTACCATGCATGCAGTACAATTTTTTTCTCAACTCAGTTGTGTAAGTGCCGATATTCAACTGCAATTTCTTTTCAAGCTTTTGAATGAACTTTTGCATTTCTTATACATGAATCAAAAGTTTTTCCAAAGTTTGTTAGAAGACTTCCCCTTTCCTACTGTGCACTATTTACTGATCAAAGAAACCCAACTCAGCCAAGTATTACAACATGAAAACTTGTATGCGATGAGAGTCAATCTGCAGTTATTTCTGGATTTAGGACCCCAAATTACCATTCAGACTCCTTCCCTCTCTATATATATGTGTGACTCTTAGGGCCCTTCCACATAGCCCTATATCCCAGAAGATCAAGGCAGAAAATCCCACAATATCTGCTTTGAAGTGGGTTATCTGAATCCACACTCAGATAGTGTAGGATTTTCTGCCTTGATATTCTGGGATATAGGGCTGTGTGGAAGGGCCCTCAGTGTGGATTCAGATAATCCAGTTCAAAGCAGATATTGTGGGATTTTCTGCCTTGATATTCCAGGATATAGGGCTGTGTGGAAGGACCAAGTGTGGATTCAAATAACCCAGTTCAAAGCAGATATTGTGGGATTTTCTGCCTTGATAGTCCGGGATATAGGGCTGTGTGGAAGGACCCCAAGTTTGCAGTTCATTGCATGGGGGTCTCTTGGCAAGATCTGTCCAGAGTTTTCCTCTGAGGCTGAGAGAGCGAGGGTTCAAACCCTGGTGTCCAGAATCTGAGGCTAGATATAATAATAATAATAATAATAATAATAATCATAATCATCATCATCATCTTTGTATTGTTGAAGGCTTTCATGGCTGGAATCACTGGGTTGTTGTGGTCTAGAGGCATTCTCTCCTGACGTTTCGCCTGCATCTATGGCAAGCATCCTCACTACCTCTGAGGATGCTTGCCATAGATGCAGGCGAAACGTCAGGAGAGAATGCCTCTAGATCATGGCCATACAGCCCGAAAAATCCTACAACCCAATAATAAACTTTATTTATACCCCGTCACCATCTCGGAGTGGCTTACATGGGGCCAAACCCAAACAACAGATTACAATACAAAAAATACAAAATTACAATAAAATAAACAACATAACATTAAAGTATAAACATCAAAGCATATAAACAATATACATAGAACATAAAAACCAAACATGAGGACAAAGAGCGGGCCACATGTACATAAAATGATTTAAAAACTCCGAGTTTTTAGATATAGCTGGATCTGATCCCAGATTATCTTCTTATCCCAGATTATCTGATAGTGTAGACTCACATCATCCAGTTCAAAGCAGATAATCTGGGATATAGGACAGTATAGATCCAGCCTGGGAGTCCCATCTGTAGAATGAATGCAGTCAAACTACCATGGCTCAATGCTGGAATCCTGGGAGTTGTAGTTTCACAAGGTCTGTGGACTTCTTTGCAAAGAGGGCTGCTACCTCAACTGCATTAATTCTGCATTAATGCACACCAATGTCTACCAAGTATTCTTGGGTGCATGCTATGGCAAATCTGGGAGTTGCAGTTTGGCAAGGTCTTTGCAAGCTTTTCTGCCCAAGAGTGCTGGTGCTTCACCAAACTGCAACTCCCAGGCGGGCAAGAGAGAGCAGAGAGGAGCTGCCTCATTTCCCCTCTCGCTACAAAGGAAGCCTTGCCAAGGCCGCGCGCGCGGGCGCGAGGCGGCGCGCGCCCTCCCGCCACCTACCTGGGGAAAGACGAGCCGCTCAGCCTCGCGCTCCACGCACCGCGGGCCCCTTTCGGAATGCCTGCGAGAAGGGCTGGGGCCCCGCCCACCAGCGGCCTCGGGGGGAGGCGTGGCCTCCGAGCCCGGCAATGGGAAGGCATGCCAAAGGCTCTACGTGAGGACGGTCACATCCAGGAATGCGCATGCGCAGGGAAGGATACACTCCAAGCAGTCTAAACCCGCCCCTTCTATTCTCTTCAATGAAGGGAGGGGGGAGTCAGAGCTCTCTTGAGTTTCCCTGGAAGTTTTCTTGAAAGAAAGTGGCAGAATTGAGACAAAGGATGTTATTATACTAAGCAGACTTTGTTGGGTTGTAGATAGTATCCATGTGCAAAGGGATATTGCAACACTTGAGAGGCAAGGGTTGCATCTATGGAAATGCAACGCCGTCTGAGCTCTGCGAGTGCAGCATTTTCCAAATGAAGTTCTGCAAGTGCAGCATTTTTCCGAATGAAGAACAGAGTTGGAAGAACAGAAATTCTCAGTGTTTTATTTATTTGTCGGGTCAGGAGCAGACCAAACGGTTGTATTGCATTTTTTAACAAACAAGCAAACAAAACACAAAGTTTGCAAACTTGGTAGTTGATTAAATGTCCTTTGAACAGTAGCTGGCCACTTGGAGTGCCTCTGGTGTTGCTGCAAGGAGGTCATTATTCATAGGAAGGTCCATAAAGGGAAATATCGATGAGGGAGAAAGAGAGTCCTTTGTTTGTGAGATGGGGGACCCTCAGGAGCCCAGGTGTGCCTCAGGTGGAAAAATTCAAATACTTTTGTGGCATGTTTTCAATAATAAATTGGTTACCTTCTGCTATAAACATGTGAAAATAGGGCATAAAGCCTTGATTAAGTGGTACACACCAAACTGACCAAGGCTAAACCCTTATTATCCAGCCTGGTGTCCTTGCCCTTAGCAAAACTATAAGTTGCTCTCTCTAATGGGGGGTCATGTTCCACTTCACCTGGTGTGGACTGTATGGGAGAATGCCAATGGGTGCTAAGCAGGGCCATCCTAGGTTCGGACTTGGATGGGAGAACGCCGATTGAAGTTAAGCAGGACCGGCCCAGATTTGAACTTAGATGGGAGGTTGCCAATGGGTAGACCTCTGGCTGTTTCCAAAGCCCCTTAGTGACTTTAGCCAAGTCACACTCTCTTAGCCTCAGATGAAGGACAATGCATATCCCCTGTGAATGAATCTCGAGCAGAATTACCTAAGGTCGCCTCAGGGCTACCCTAAGTCTTAACCGACTTGAAGGTTCACAACAACAACAACAAATCTAATAAACTGTACCATCCATCTACAGTGGGGGGGAAAAAGTATTTACTCAGATACGGATTGTACAAGATCTCCCACTTAAAAAGATGAGAGAGGCCTGTAATTGACATCATAGGTAGACCCCAACTATGAGAGACAACATGAGAAAACACATCCAGAAAATCACATTGTCTGATTTTGAACAAATTTATTTGGAAATTTTGGTGGAAAATAAGTATTTGGTCCATGACAAAAGTTAATCGCAATACTTTGTTATCTATCCTTTATTGACAATGGCAGAGGTCAAACTTTTCCTGTAAATCCTCACAAGGTTGGCACACACTGTTGCGGGTATGTTGGCCCATTCCTCCATGCAGATCTCCTCAAGAGCAGTGGTGTTTTGGGGCCGTCGCTGGGCAACACGGACTTTCAACTCCCTCCAAAGTTTTTCTATAGGTTTGAGATCTGGACTCTAGCTTGGTCACTCCAGGACCTTGAAATGTGTCTTACAAAGCCACTCCTTCGTTGCCCTGGCAGTGTGCTTGGGATCATTGTCATGCTGAGAGACCCAGCCACGTTTCATCTTCAGTGCCCTTGCTGATGGAAGGAGGTTTGCACTCAAAATCTCACAATACATGGCCGCATTAGTTCATTCTTTCATGTATACAAATCAGTCGCCCTGATCCCTTTGCAGAGAAACAGCCCCAAAGCATGATGTTGCCACTCCATGCTCCCATGGCACTATTATTTTGGAATGGGATTCAGAATGTGACATGAATTAAAGCACATTTGTACACGACGGCGGATAAAGGAACATTATGAGTTTTGCAAGCACATGCTGAATGGAGAAGATGGTCAGAATGAAAATTGTCAGAAATATTTGTGGTCTCAGGTAATGCAGACGGAAGTAGGGGCAGCATTAATTTTTAATAATTTTCAAAAGAAAACAGAACAATACAATTCCAAATAAAACAAAAAAAAATGGTTTGACATGAGTATTATTACTATCCCTAATTTTTAAAAAAATGCAGGAGGGGGCGGGGCCAAGACTAAGCCACCAGAGGGCTGGAAGGCAGGACTCGCCCATGAAGGGAGGGAGCGAGGAAGGGAGGGAGTGGAGCCAAGGGGCTTAGGGACTGAGCCTTCAACAGGAGAGGCCAGCCAGGGATGTTTCCGAGTTCTCCCATCCAAGTCTGAACCTGAGCCATCCCTGCTTAGTGCCAATGATGGTCCCCCATACAAGTCCAAACCTGGACCATACAAATCCAAACCTCTTCCGCAGTCCTGGGGTTCAATCCTCATAGCTATCCTGGTTGTTCGGGCACTTGGAACCCAAATAAGTGGAAGGACATCCACCTCCTCCCCCCAAACCCCCATTTTCCTCCCAAAAAAACTTACTGGAGGGGCCTGCCAGCAGTGTTGTCCAACTACACCGTACGGCAATGTGCCAAAGGCTGCATGACAGGGAGTGGGGGGTGTATTGCTGGAGTTTTCCTTGCAGGATCTTGAGCATTACCTTACTGGCATGAGAAATCAGGGCCACTGTACGGAAGTTGGAGCAGTCTTTCGCATTTCCCTTTTTCGGTATGGGGATATAAGTTGATTTTTTTCCAGTCTGATGGCCATTCTTGTGTTTTCCATATTTGCTGGCATATGGCATGCATCACCTTGACAGCATCATCTTTTAAGATTTTAAACAGTTCAGCTGGGATCCCGTCGTCTCCTGCTGCCTTGTTGTTAGCAATGCTTCTTAAGGCCCATTCAACCTCACTCCTCAGGATGTCTGGTTCTAATTCATTCACCACACTGTCAAAGCTATCCTCGATATTATTATCCTTCCTATACAGATCTTCTGTATAGTCTCGCCACCTTCTCTTGATCTCCTCGGCTTCTGTTAGGTCCCTGCCATCTTTGTTCCGTACAGTGGCCCTTATTTCTCATGCCAGTAAGGTAATGCTCAAGATCCTGCAAGGAAGACTCCAGCAATACATGGAGCGAGAGTTGCCAGATGTTCAAGCTGGGTTTAGAAAAGGCAGAGGAACGAGAGACCAGATTGCCAATATCCGCTGGATAATGGAGAAAGGCAGGGAGTTTCAGAAAAACATCTATTTCTGCTTCACTGACTATTCTAAAGCCTTTGACTGTGTGGATCATAATAAATTGTGGCAAGTTCTTGGTGGGATGGGCATACCAAGCCACCTTGTCTCTCTCCTGAGGAATCTGTACAAGGACCAAGTAGCAACAGTCAGAACTGACCACGGAACAACAGACTGGTTCAAGATTGGGAAAGGCGTACGGCAAGGCTGCATACTCTCACCCAACCTTTTTAACTTGTATGCAGAACACATCATGTGATGTGTGGGGCTTGATGAATGCAAAGCTGGGGTGAAAATTGCTGGAAGAAACATTAACAACCTCAGATATGCAGATGATACCACTCTGATGGCCGAAAGCGAGGAGGAGCTGAGGAGCCTTCTAATCAAGGTGAAAGAAGAAAGCGCAAAAGCCGGGTTGCAGCTAAACATAAAAAAACCAAGATTATGGCAACAAGAATGATTGACAACTGGGAAATAGAGGGAGAAAACGTGGAGGCCGTGACAGACTTTGTATTTCTAGGTGCAAAGATTACTGCAAATGCAGACTGTGGCCAGGAAATCAGAAGACGCTTACTTCTTGGGAGGAGAGCAATGTCCAGTCTCGATAAAATAGTAAAGAGTAGAGACATCAGACTGGCAACAAAGATCCGCTTAGTCAAAGCCATGGTATTCCCTGTAGTAACCTACGGATGTGAGAGCTGGACCTTAGGGAAGGCTGAGCGAAGGAAGATCGATGCTTTTGAGCTGTGGTGTTGGAGGAAAGTTCTGAGAGTGCCTTGGACTGCGAGAAGATCCAACCAGTCCATCCACCAGGAAATAAAGCCCGGCTGCTCACTGGAGGGAAGGATACTAGAGACAAAGCTGAAGTACTTTGGCCACATCATGAGGAGACAGCAAAGCCTAGAGAAGACAATTATGCTGGGGAAAGTGGAAGGCAAAAGGAAGAGGGGCCGACCAAGGGCAAGATGGATGGATGGCATCCTTGAAGTGACTGGACTGACCTTGAAGGAGCTGGGGGTGGTGACGGCCGACAGGGAGCTCTGGCGTGGGCTGGTCCATGAGGTCACAAAGAGTCGGAGACAACTGAATGAATGAACAACAACAACAACCCCTCCAGGGAAAGCCCGTGGTTTGGTTTGGGGATGGGGACAGAAACCCGGGAGGAAGCGGGTTATTTTAACCCGCTTCCTTACAGGTTTCTGCCATGTCTGGAAGGGCCCTGAGAAGTTGTGTTCAAGTAACATGGAGAGCATCTACATGGTAGAATTAAAACAGTTTGATACCACTTTAACTGCCTTGGCTCACTGTTATGGAATAATGGGAATTGTAGTTTTACTAGATCTTTCACCTTCTCTACCAATTTTTTTTAAAGCATTTCATGCATCAATCCCCTTTCTGATCATCCATGAAAACTGGGGCCGTGATTAATGTGCTTGTCTTAAAAATGCTATGTTCTTGCTTTTTGTGCACACCCTGGTTTCTGTAGTGTATTTATTTTAGTTTAAGCTGCTCTAGGGACACTGTGGTATAGAAAAGGTGAAAGATATATTTAGAAAAATAAATACATGAATCCTCTTCCCCTGTTAACAACTGTGAAACAGCATGGTTTGTTCATGGAATGATCTGCTTTCTTAATGAGACGAGAGGTGGTTTGAGAGCAAGATGTAGAAACCCTGTCTCTGGGTGGAACTGCATGATACATGTAATTATGGGATCCTTTTTTGGGAACATCACTCTTTTACACAAAGCA